AAGGATGTGCAGCTATGACATACAACTATCTACTGGGGCTTTGGGGGAGAAAAAGGGGGAAAAAAAAGGAGGAGGATTGGCAATAGATGTTAGCTCAGAGCTGATCTCCCTCATAAAAAAAAAAAAAAAGATTTCCCAAATGGTGTCTATGGTCTGGGCTGAAGATTTAAGGAGAAGGGATGAGAAGCGACAAAGAGAGTGATGAGAAGATGAATAAAGGACCACACTGAAGAGAACCTGTGCAACTGAGGTCCAAATTGAGATCTAAAAGATTATGATTCTGTTGCAGATCAGGTTCTCCAGAAAGCAGACTCCAAGACAGAGTTCAGAATGGAGGGTGCTTATTACGAAGTGCCTCTAGGACCAACACCTGTGAAAGGGAGATGACAGGAAGCAGGAGTGGGCAGAGGAGGAATCAAATTGTCATACCGGACTAATGATAGTCTCAGCTGACCGCACAGCAGCTCTGGAGCTAGAATGGCGCCTCCAAGTTGTCCCCACCTGGGCTGAAACGACCAGGATTTTCACATCCCCCTCTGTCCAATCAGGTCACTGCATGTGGACAGCCCCATGAAGGCCGTGCTCTTGGAGGGGGTCTCTGCAGCTGAAGTGGTATGTGGAGATGCTGACCCTTGAAGGCTATCTTGTCCCTGACACACCCAGCAGCAGCAGTGTCAAGTCCTCTAATGACACAGTATCTGGGCAGGCATCACAGTGTCCACCACTGATTCTCACTTCATATTTTAAAGAGGGGGAAACTCAGGGGCAGAGAGTAGTCAGTTACAAATCTGAATCTAAAACTAAGAATTTATCACTCTGTTTCTCAACGTTATAACCACAAAAAATGCTGATGTCTATTTTGGAAAGAATGAGCAAGGAAATATTTACTTAGTTTGAGGAATTTTCTTGAATGGGATAAAGGAAAGAAATGAGTACAAATAATTCTAGACAGGTTTACATAGAGAGGACTAAATTGTGAAAATCATCACTCAAGTATGAATAGAGCATTATATGTCAAATTTCTATACATGCAAGTTTTGTTTTTGAATGGCTTTATGTATGCTTTACAGGGCATTCTATTCCCTACATATATGTTACCAACATATACTGTATGAATGCCTCCTTTTTCTAGGTCTTCAACGGGTCTCAATGGAAAAAGCATTAAATTGATAACTATGCCCAGGGCTGGCACTAACTAGGGGAATGGACTTCATTTAGCAAGTCGATTAACGTCCCTGGTTCTTCATGTTTTAATTTTACTTGGAAGTGGTTAGATATGATAATAAGAAAACTTCTCATTCAAAATGCTGTGAATAGTGTTAAGAATATAAGCCATGTGCCTATATGCATAAACTTTATGTTTCTATATCATGCTTCCACTCATACACCACATTTTGGTCACATGGGTCTTTCAGTTCAGTGCTTGCCAGGCTCCTTTCCACCTTAGGGTTTACACACTCATTTCCACAGTGACCCCAAGAGATCACGTGACTGACTCCTTTTCTTCCCTTGGGTGACAACATTAAGGTCATCTCCTCAGAGGCCCAGACAATCTACGTAATCCCTCCCCGCCTAAGCCAAATTTCCTTTATATTAACTTATTTGACTATCTTGGTAACACAATTATCTCAGATCATCTTGTTTACGTATTTATCTGTTATTCACTACTGAATCCTTAGCACATGTCAGTGCCTGGCATTCAAGCACTATTTAGTAATTATTCATGTGAAAGAGTAAATGCAGGCAATGAATGAATATTAATCATTTACATGATTTTAAATACACATCAAACACAACAACTGCCAAAATATTTGCTGAGGAAAATAAATTCATTCTATGTTTCTAAATAAATTTGAATAAAAGAAGGTTCTGCTACACTCTATCTTACCATCAAAATTTTTATTTAACAAGCTAAGATGTTTTTTATCTGAGACTTCCTAAAGGGCATAATGACATACAAAACGAGTATGTTTCTGTTTCCACCAATAATATATTTTTCGAGGCAACAAAAATATTGAATGTGTGGGAGACATTCCATCTTCCCACTGGTAAAACATTTTAAGAAAAAAAATGTTGAAAATTGTTAAGAGTAACTTTCCAATTTTACATTAAAAACAAGCCTATGATAAAGAAAGTCTATATATGAGAGACAAACAAAAACAAGCTATAAATTACGTCACTAGACTTACAATAATATTTTTGCAAGAAGCTTTTATAATTTTTGGCTAGCTTTTAAGCTAGGAATATAAGATGTCCCAGGAGATTAAATGAGCACAGGAATTCAACCTCCGACTGGGTCAAATGGAATGTCTTTTGTGATCCTGGCTGAACATACACCCTTATAATCAAACATGAATCATTCCACTTATGTAAGTCTATGCTTTCAATGAGACACTAAATGTTTTATTTTTAACTAGGTGAAGTATTAAATTCTTATTTTTATCTGTACCTATTTCAAGTTATAAATTTCTATACATGTTCTACTGTCTTTATTAGGGAAAAATTCTTTTATTTACCTAAAACTCTCTTTCTAGTAGTTCTTTCTCTCTGTAGTTATTCTAGAAATTTGGCTCTTGGTGGAAAATATCATGTTTACTCTACCCACACCATTTATTTTCATGAGAATTTGATTCTATCTTCTTTTGAACATCATGTTTTGAGATCAAGGAAGAATTATTAAGTATAGAAAAGCCTGGCCTAAGAAAGTAGATTTTTCTCTAGAGGCCAGAGACACAATAATAACTGGGACTGATGTCAGGATCATAAAATCACAAGCAATATCTGAAGTAGAGCTGAGGCAACAAAAGAAAGACATCTTAATACATTATGAAGTATAGTAGAAAATGAACATAGATAAATCCTAGAACTATTTTTAAGTGAATTTGGCATGCCAAATTTTAAACAGTAATCAATCACTAACTGAAATTAATGTTCGTTTCTCCAAATTATCAGGTAGTTGTCCTAGTCTATGGCGACATTAAAGTGAAGAAAACATGGAAAAATAAAATGGAACCTTGAGTGCAGGCGAGATCCTTCAGTAATCATTTTCACACAAAGACTAACTCTATATTGTGCCCTAGTCTAACTGATCCTATGTTACTCATATAAGATGATATATTAAATGTAACCATGCAGGAAAAAAATCGAATATGGGCTTTTGTCATATTCCACACTCACATTTTAGCAACCTCACAAAATTAAAATTGTTTTCCAAATGAAACATCAAGAGAATTATTTATTTTACTCAAGTGATACTGTAACAGTCTTGGATGGTATTGTTACTAGCTTCAAGGAAACAGAAAACAGTACAAGGCTAAGTTAAAGGCAACTTTATTATAATACGTTTCCAAACTTCAAAATGCATGTATTACTGAATTCAGATCTAATATATAATACATTATATTACAAGACAGAAGGCATTTCTAGTCAGATATTTAGCTTGCATGTATTGCCCCAAATAGAGCTTCCTAGGAACAGCAGCAACACAAAATAGTTTATATCACTAAGTAAAATATTTCTCTGGTGTCGCATGAAGAATCATTCATATTGCATTTTATTTTATGTTCATTTCCTCTAATTTAGAAACAAAACAAAGCTATTTTTTCTATATCTTACTAGTTAATGCCTAGAAGTTGTCTATACCCTAAAAAGATCCACCAGCTTAGAAATATTTCCTTTGGTAGAAAATAGGATTTTTGAAACTAACCAACCAAAAGAACACTGTATTTCCCCATTGCAAATTGGGGCAGAATTCTCTTCTTTTCCTTTTTAAGGAGCCAAATCTGAGCCTCCTTCTCTTCACATAGCCATCCTGAATACTACCTGCTTCAAAAGACACCCAAATCTATAATGAAGTCTATTCTAATAAAGTCTTCTCTGTTTTGTCTTGCCTCCTATTTGTTTACTTTAGAATAATTTACAACCCACTTAGAACATTACATAATAATAAACTTAAAAGTAATCTTGGAAAATGTAGTAACATAATGAAAGTATTTTCCAAATTAGACAAGGACAGTATTGGCTCATCCACCTCTGCTTCAAACGACCAACCAAATTCAACTTACGAAAAGAATTCCTTTTCCAAAGTCACTACCCTAATAACAATGGAAACAGATGTAAATCCACTGAATAGATCTAGTCCCTTAATTTGCTCTCTTAGTTTAACATTGGTGAGCTACCTACTAGCACAGAACATGTTCATCCTCCTCATTTTCACAACAGCAGGAAATGGTTAGAAGAGTGTAGAAAAAGTTCTATTTTTCATAGGGCAAATTTAATACAGATTTTTCTATGAAGGTGGAAAAAAAAGTGAATGAAAAGGTATGTGCTGGCTGCTTGGGGGAGCAAGGCTCATAAATCACTGTACGTTAAGAGCACGTGCTGAAACTTCATGGTGCCAGTCACGTAATTTTGTGTATTTGGGACTAAAGACGTGAAGGGGTATCTTTTCCCTGTGGAAATAAAAAAAAAAGAAAAGAAAAGAAAAGAAAAGTGATAGAAGAGTCATAAGAAAGAGAAAGAAAAGTTTCTAAGTTTATCATGCAGAAAACATGCCTTATAAAAGCTTAATTTCACATAGCTGTTTTATTTAATAGCAACGATTTTAAGGGTAGAGCATTTTTAGAAATACAGAAATTAATTCATAGAGCCTTCTTGGAAACATCAATTTTTATGCCCAAAATGAAGTGACTGCAAGACAACACATTGAACTCATTCACAGAGATCTGCAGTGTTAGCGAAGCACCCTCAGATACACCCTGCCACCCACTTATTGCAATACGAAAGAAAATAAGCCTGAGGGAGAAAATCCACATGGTATTTACTAATTTAAAAATCTGTAAGTCATACATCTAAGTCCCACAAAAGGCACCAAAGTTAAATGCTTAGCTTCTAGTTGCAAAGACAAAATGCCGTATCATTACACTTGAAAATGTGAAAAAATACATTGAGACCATTCATGAAAGGTAAGCATTCAATGTACAAAAAAATGGACAACTTACTTTGCCTTCTTTGTATTATCAGTTTCAGATTCTTTCACTGAAATATAATAAGCAATATCTAGTATTAGTTTGCTTTTTTTAACTTTAAAATCACTTAAGCAATTACCCGTATCAGTCAATACCAAATGGTCAAGTTGCAGAGAGCCAATAAAAAATATCATAATATGTTGTCATTGGCTATATACTATAGTCACTGCTACTGCTACTATACTTTTCAACATTACTCTCCTGGGCTGGTTTCTTATTTACAGTACCCATATTATGCATGGCATAATTTAAAAGCAAACTGTCTCAGGAACATTATCGTTTTCTAATAACTGTTCATCAATCTAAATGCTACGCTCTAGGGCAAAGAACATTCATCCATTAGAACCCCTAAATATGCACTCACGATGTTCGGTCCCAGTGATCTGGGCAAGAATTCGGAAAGAGCGAGACTGGGTCGTTCCAGTCCTTGGGTGCCAGTCTTCAGTATCCTCAATCAGTCTTTTCTTGCTGGCATCGCTGTGAGTGGGTATGTGATAAAACTCTGTATAGCGCTCCACAATGTGTTTTCTTGGTGGGCTAGCATTGAGAAGTAAAAAAAGAATTTAAAAAATTTTAATTATATTAAGGATAAAAATATCCACCGCCAAATTATTTATCATTTATACATTTAATCCTCAATGTTCCTTTTATATATTTTGCTTTTGCAAGACTCAGCCTCAATTTTTTTTAAAAAAAGCATCTTTCTAAAATATAGTAGACTAAGTTTTTTAAAAATTAGTAAAAAAACACAAGGTACTTAAGGCTAATATAAAATGATAGTATATGTATCTATTCAACGGAAAGGTTACCGTTTAGGCGGGATTTTCCTTTTAATTGACAGAAGAAGGCAGCAGAAGAGAGATTTCCAACATGAAGAAAAGGAAAAGAAAAGAATAAGAAAAGAAGGAAAATAACAAGAAATGAAAAAGTCCACAGTAGTTAAAATCAAACAATTAGAAATACTTGTATTGTATGCCTAACAAATCACAGATATGTACTACACTCACAACCACTGTTAAATATTGATATGCTGCTAAACGTATTGGCTTTCACAAAATGAAATGATCCTATCTTCCCTAGGCCCAGGACCCAACAATGGTTTAGTACAGGCTAAACTAGCAATTCCAAACACAATTTTGAAAAATGGTCAGACTGTTCTTTTCTTTTCTTTCTTTTTTAAGAAGATTGGCCTAACATCTGTTGCCTATCTTCCTCTTTTTCTTTTTTCTTCCCAAAGCCTCAGGACATAGCTGTACATCCTAGTTGTAGAGTTGTAGCTCTCCTATGTGGGACGCTGCCTCAGCACAGCTTGATGAGCAGTGAGCAGGTCCGTGCCCAGGATCCGAACCAGCCAACCCAGGCCGCTGAAGCGCAACGTGAGAACTTAAATGCTGTGCCACCGGGCCGGCCCCCAGTTATTTTCTATAGTTTCCTCACTCATGTGTATAGACATTCCTCATCCTAAATGAAGTGAGTGCAGGACGAGCAGAAAGAAGAGCTGTGGTATATCAGAAACCAATGAAACACCTATCAAAAGACCAAGATGTAAATCTTGGCTCTGTGACTTGCCAGATGTGTGATTTTGGACAAGTCAATCTCACTGAGCCTCAGTTTTTCATTTACAAAACAAAAATATCACATACAAAGTAGCACTGTTCTGAGGATTAAATGTAATAATATATGTGAAAGGGATTTGTAAAGTACAGAGTTCAAGAACTTTGAGTTTGCTAAGAACATTCATTTTTCTATTAACAAAGCAAAGGAATTTACAATGTACGTTGTTTTTACACTTTAACCTAAGATCTACAGAACGTAATAAATACTCCTCCCTTCCTCCCAAACTTTTAGAGGCTATGAATTTAATATCAGAAGAGTCTGAGTCTGGACTAGCAGACGACTGACACAGACCCAAGTAGAGCAAGTGCTCTAAGTGGGTCAGATGAGGGTGGCGACACCTGCTGGGTAGAACTCACTGCGAGAAATCACAGCACTATCAGCCTGCTACAGGACTGCTGTCATTTTAATAGTTACACTATCAAAGTCGTCTCAGTACACCAGGAGAGTTTGTGTCCAGTGAAGAACATGATATAATTAAAGTGAACCCTGGCATTACAGTCAGACAGACAATAGTTTCAAGTACCACATCCTCCACTCAGTGTGTGTTGTAGGTAAGTCAATTAACTTCTCCAAGTCTCTATTTTTCCCATCTGAGACATGGGGATTGCATCCACCCTAAAGGGTTATTCTGAGGAATAAATAAGACAGATAAGGTATGTAAAGTGCTTTCCATAGTACTTAACCCATACTAGTATGGTCATGATCATGTAATGTGTTCTTTTATGATTACTAGAAAATTTATTTGCGATGCGTGTTCTAAGACTATGGGTCATCTGCAAATATAAAGAACAGAATCAATAGTATTTACACACAAACTAGTAATACTTATTATTATAATGTATGGTAATATTTTAAGATTTCAGAGTAAAATATCTGAAATACCTTTTCCTAACATTGAACAAAATCTAATCCTTTTTAAAACAGACATTTTTAAAAATCAGGAAATAACAGGCATAGATTACTTCATAAACACATTGCCTCTGACAGATATAAATTACTAAACAGACAACACTTCATCTTACGCAATTACTTAAAAAACCTTTTACTTAGCTACTTACTATAGTTTTACATTTCTCTCTAGTTAGTGAGTGTAGTTTACTCTTAAATGGTGTCAATTTTAGGTATAAGACTATTTTATCCTCTGTAAAAGGTTTGGCCTATAAAAATACAAAACAGTGGTGTCAAGCTATGACACTAAGCATAATAAAATGACACTGAAGAATATCTTTTAGCCATGACACACTTGCAAAAGGTAGTACACCTCAGACTGTGCCATTCACCACAGCTCAAGGTCTTGTGTTAAGTGACATGAAACTTCTCAACATTTACTTAGTGTTTTCTGGCTCTGAAACTCTAGACGTTGATGACTCTATGATTAAAGAAGAGAATAATCTCAATGATTTTATTTGTAAAAATGTATTTGGGATAGAACATAAATGTAACTATCAAGAGCAAATAATTTATTTCAAAATAGAGACATTCCAAATTAGCAAGTTCATTTTTAAGAAATACTAAAGGGAGGCCCAAACTACATCTCTAACTCCAGTATACACTGTCTATAATACTTAATCAGCCTATTAGGTTTTTCCACCGCAGAAGTGTGGTTGTTCTGAATACAATCACTGATTCAAATGAAGTTCTCCAGCACATAGAACATGTTTTCTAGGCTCCTTAACATACCTGAAAATTCTTGCAATGAGAAGATACTAAAAATTTGCGGGCGGTGTTAAGTTGAAAGCAAGACAGAAAGTTACAGAGAGACAATGATGAAAATTACAAAAGGAACCACTGATTAGCTACTTACACGGCGCCAGGGTTACTGAAGCAGGAATAATACACACAAAAAAGATGTGATAAAGTGCAGAAGACATTGATGTTCCCAGGATGATGGAAAACAGACAAATATGAGGTGGGAAAAAAAAAAAGAAGAAGAAGAAGAAAAGAAACAAAATGAAATAACAAAATTGAAACCAATGAATTTATGTGAACATGTTACACAAACATCATGCTTCAAAATAATCATGTAAACACAAACAAAAAAGAACAAATGTTAGTCAAAATTTTGTTACATTGTTATTATTTGGATAACAGTTTTATCTGTTTTTCTTTGTTTCCCAAAACACTGAGAAAAATCTCATATATTAATGCTAGTTCAAGTCTCAAGGTACTAACGCCAAGACAGAAAGATCTACTATCTTTTTTTTTTTAATTTTTTTTGTGTGAGGAAGATCTGCCCTGTGCTAACATCTGCCAATCCTCCTCTTTTTTTGCTGAGGAAGACTGGCCCTGGGCTAACATCCGTGCATATCTTCCTCCACTTTATATGGGAAGCCGCCACAGCATGGCTTGCCAAGCGGTGTGTTGGTGTGTGCCCGGGATCCGAACCGGCGAACCACGGGCCGCCACAGGGGAGCGCACGCACTTAACTGCTTGCACCGCCGGGCCAGCCCCAAGATCTACTATCTTTAAAACATTTCCAGGTTTCTATAAAATCCATTTTATCATGAATCTAAATTTCTATTATATTCCTAACAAAAGGTAGACAATAAAATAATTATTAGAAGGCAAGATGTAGAAACATCATTTTAGAATCACTTTTAAAATCAGAGAAGAATACGAAAAAATCTTACAGTGTCACATAATACAAGTATATATTAATAGCAAGTGTAATCTCCTCACATAAATTAACCCAAATCATATATTACAAAGGAATGATATGCTATTTGAAAATTTTCCCTACTTTTTTAAAACGTAGTGAGTATGATGAAAATATATAAGAAGCACTGCGGGTCATAAATAATGGGCTATCACTCCATTTTCATATTCTCCTCTGTTTGTCATTACACTGCCCTCATTCACAAGCATATCCCAGTAAGTTTAGAACTGATTTGTGGGAATTTCATAGTTCTGTAATAGCAGAGACCTAATTATTGCCCAGAAAGGCATGTCTGATATGATATATTTAAGGAACGAGGTTAATAACACCTTAAGGGGGAAACCTCAAAACATAATTCATTCACATAGCTTATGAAGTACAGAATCATTAAAAACAAATACATTCATATTCCATTATGGACAGAGAAGACTAAAGTATAAACTCTATATAGTTTGTCAACACACTGGTGAATCAATCCTTCTGCAATGAAGTTTAGTTCTCATAACTACTAATTCATTGTAAATGTAGTGAGAAACACTGCCTCCCAGTTTTAATACTAAGATTGTGCAGTATTCCACAATCTTAGTATTAGCGAAGCTGTATTTCCACACACCAGAGTCAGTTTCATTAATTCAACAGAGGGTTGAATTTTGCTGAATGCGGGTGACATGCAGGAGTAAGTTGATCTCAATAGTTTACCAGTATTTATTCCTCTGTAGTCACAATGCAAAGCATTCTCTCCTCTGCATTGCTATTTTAAATAGGAGGGTAATAGTTTTTCAAAATAACCTCTCCTGAACAGAGTAGAATTTTAGATGTCTATTTAAACATTTTAAAGTTTAGGAAAATGTTTTATGTCAACATTAGGTGGGGGAATGTTCTATGGTTGGTGAAGGGCAGCAAGTGGAGGGTTGATTGGTTTCAACCTAAAGATGCCAAGTGGAGTGTGCTGAACAAATATTTTCACATATTTTAGAAAATGCCCCCAAATGAAATAGCAATCATACACCGCAGTGGCATTTGTGCCAATGTGACAGTCAGATGGCCTGGCTTCTCACTATGGCTATGCTGCCCACTTCCCCTGTGCCCTGGGCAAGCTGCAATCTACAGAATCCTCATTTTCCTCAACAGTGAAATGGATCACAATTTCTGTGTCTTGCAGACTTCTTGCAAGGGCACATGTTTAGCATATTTGAAAGCTCTTTGAAAACTATATAAACACAGGTTTGTTGTTAGTATACATTCCCCAATTGCTCCAAATAAGAAAAGCGCTATCAAACCCAGCTGAGCTTTGTGCACATTATTCACTCATATAACCTCAATTCACTCAATTTTCCTCAAGTCTACAATCACCAAAACCAAATACTAATTCAAAGTAACAGAAATAAGCCCAGGTCACAAGCAGGTGATACAGAGGAAGGCACACCAAAATTTGGCTTCAAAAGACCTAGTCTCAAATCTTAACTCTATCACTTATAAGCTGCATGACTTGAAAAATTACGTAACCTCTCATTGTTCAAAGTCTAAATGAGAATTAAATCAGATAATGCATTTAGGAACACCTAGCACAATGCATAGTAATACCTAATAAATTAATGAATCTGAATCTTGAATTTTAAAACAATTATATTTAACATAAATGCTTAAATTTATTTGTCCAAGTCCTATTTTTTCTCCTTTACAAGTCAAATTGTTTTTTACACTGGAATCTACTAACTAGTTAAAATCTTTGTGTATAAGAATTTAACTTTAAATAGACAAGCAATATATCAGGGTTTGGGGATGTTTCACTGGTACATTGGTGTGTAATATTCCTATGTGTATATAACATGAAACTATTCAATCAGTGAGACCACAGCCACACCGGAATGAAGCTGCTCTAGTAATTCAAAGTTAATTCTCTTGGGTGTATCTAAGATTGTATTCCCTATTTCCAATTCTATTCTATAGTGTCATAATAAAGAAATATGAGCACTTGCTCAGAATAATCATAACTTAAAACAAAATTAAGTTCTTATCTAATGTGATTTTTATCTATTTTTAAAGCTAGTAATCATCAGCCTGTTTACTGTCAATACCAACAGAGACAAAAGCGAGGTTTTAAAATTATACCACGGTGATTCCCAATGCCTATGCCAATTAACTGTAACATTTAATAAGCTGGCAATTATCTCTCTTAATTTCAAAGGTGTATAACTTTCTATCATCCAGTGACACAAATTGCATATATAGAGGTCTAAACCTTCCAGCAATATTGTTTGAAAAATCATAAAGGTTCTTAGAGACTTTCCTAGGAAACACTGGTTTTTGATATGAATTTGGAAATCAACTCAGTTTTATATATGCTATTCACTAGTGGTACATATGTTTATCTTTCTCTTCTGTCTTTATCTTTTGTCTTCTAACAGTCTCAACCGATACAAACTACATTCCCTCAGGCATTATTTCTTCTAAATCATTACACAGCAAACTCCACATATATTTTATGACACAAGTCAAACACTACCATTTATTACCATAAAGCACTTCACCACAACACAGCAATGCAAACCAAACTTACTGAAAATACTAAATGTGGTTATTTTAAATTACAGCTGTTTTGCAAAATGTAACTTAATTTTGCAAAAATCGGGCATTCATGCTCATATATAAATCACCATATTTCCTCTCCAGTAATGTGGATACTAACTTTGTCACTTGTGTTTTCTGCAAAAAGAAAAGCATTTAAAAATATTACTACCATATCATTATATTGTATGTTTCAAGGCCAGGTTCTTCAAAATACCACATAGGAACTGTTAGAAGAAAACTGCAGTCCGAGGAAATTGATGTTAAGGAAGGATCTATGAAAGACTTACCTCTTGAAAGCAGTGGCACATTATAATGCAAGGGCATTTGGAAAGGGAAAAGGTAAATCACTTCAACTACCTGACACAAAAGAGTTCCCTTCCTGTTTGGATATAAGCCTCGTTTTCCTCTAAGGAGAGTAAGAAGAGTATGAGAGAGTAAGAAAGAAAACAGCAAGCCAAGACCAACAAGCTGTATATGTAGAAGAAAGATTAAAATTTCTTAAATTGCCTTGTTCATTACTATTTATAAGAAAGAACAGGAATGTTTACATAGTATCATTAAGAAACATTATAAAAAATATCAACATTATAGATTTCATACTATTAGGTTGAATATTAACTAATTATTTCTCAGTAATGATGCTTAATAAATAACCACTCGCCTGCGTCTCATGTTTATTAATCCTAAATAAATTTGTGTGGGATATCTATCAAACCAGCAAATTAGCTAGTTACTTTAAATCACATAGAAACTAATAGTCCTCTTGCTTTGAGGACAAAGATAACTATGCATTTAACTTTAATCCTTCTGAACTCTTAAATTTTTGGTTACTGGCAATACATTATTTATAAAATAAAAACTAATAAAAAGTAACAACTCTCGGGGCCGGCCCCATGGTATAGTGGTTAAGTTTGCGTGCTACACTTCTGTGGCCCGGGGTTTGCGGGTTTGGATCCCAGGTGCAGACATACTCACCACTTATCGAGCCACACTGTGGCAGCATCCCACATACAAAACAGAGGAAGATGGATACAGATGTTAGCTCAGGGCCAATCTTCCTCACCAAAAAAATAAATAAATATAAAAGTAACAACTCTCAACTTTGAAAGAGTTTTGTTGCAGATCTTTTGTAACATTATAAAAATATGGAAAATTTAACAATCACATAATTAGTAAAAGTCTGACAGTGATTTCAGAAAAACTGACACCTGATGGAGGAAATGCACTCATCAATATAACAAAACACCTACTCTTCAAAATGACACATCACTGACTAGTAAAGTGTGTGATTTATTTTTGATTTCACTACTCTAAACACTGTAAGAGAAAGGGCACTGCAAATTGGTCTTACAATTTCACAGACACCACACTTTGTTTTCGGAGTAATCAAGTTTTCATTGTGCCAACATCTGGACAACATTTGAAATCAAGCTCTTTTTAAATACACTCAGTTTGCAAATGCAAAGCAGTAACTTGTTTGTTGATGATGCAAAATATGTAATAATCCCTTTTCTCCTGAATCTTGCACAGTGCTGGATACCAGGTACGTGCTTCACAATCACATATTGATTGATTAAGAATCCACCACAAAGGCCCTACAACCGCACTACTGCCTACAGTTATAGTGTGAAAATAATAACCTTTAAATCATTTCAAGTTTAATCACCAAAGTTGTGCTTATAAAACACAAAATTTAAGCTTGATATTTTTACATGTTTTAAATGTCATCCTTTTCCGTAACTTCAATTTGCTTATACCTCTACAATTTTCCAATAAGAAGATTTCCTTATAAAAGTTCAAGAAATGTTAGTAAGGAGAAAAGATTTTAGCTCAAATACTTCCTTCAATGAACTTTCTTTTACTGAACCTGGAATTTAATAAACATAGTAAATTCCTGCTCTTAGTTTTCTGTGGGGCTAGCATCTGATGGGCAGCATCTGTCTTTTCATGATATCTACTTCGATTACTTTAAAATCTACTTGTCTTAAAATAGACATACACGAAAAAATATAACCAAGTGCACCTCAACACTGTATTATTTCTCTTCCTCACATGAAAAAAGAAATAACACTTTGAGGGATTCTACTTTTCCCCAGTATATATACATCAGAACTTTAAAAAGCCACCCACAACCACAAAACCCTATGTGGGCCCAGGAGCTGTTCCTCCAGACCTCCTGCTCTCTCCCAGCAGCAGCCTGGAACCCTGCCATCTTCCTTTTCAGAGCTCAGAGTTGCCATGGCAGCGGTGCTACAGAAAGCATAGCCCCTTCATTACATGAATTAACATGCGGAAGGGATTATCTCAGAAAAGATCTATTCAAACAATTATTTTAATTATATTTTCCTGGGAACTGGCATTGGTAAAAACCTTCACCCATGCAGATTATTTCCCTTTGTTTTCTTTTTAAAGTGCATTTTTGTCACAATAAATCTGATCAAATGATTTTACAAAAATGACTTTGGCTTAAAGTATGGTCACTGAATTCCAAAAAGAATACAATGACCATCTATAAATGGAGGCAGCTGAAAATAGACTTCAACCAATTTTTCAAAAAATGTACCCCAAAAAGGGAAAAATTATAAGGAATAGATTTTCAAAAACTTCTGCTAACATTATATATTTAGTGTTCATTGTTTTAAATCCATTCATTTTAGAAAAATCTTTTACAATGAAAATACTTTCTAATTTGCTTCTGACGTTTTTAAAGCATCCCTTAATATTCTTGTTCTGTCATTACTATTTGCTTTTGAAGACTACATTCTAGCTTAAGCTTATCTGAAAAGAATGTTGCTAGCTATCTGACCTAAGCTATTACATGATACATAGACATGAGCAAAAACTAAATTTGTTTTCTGTCTTCTTAAGATTACTTCCTAGAAAAAAAGCTTCTCACAAATTCCTCATTTCCTCTCTCCTTAGGATGAGATACATAGGCTGACACAACTGTAACCACTGTTTAAACTTGTGGGGGCTAATAAAAGGATGGAAAAATCGAAGAAGAAATATTCAAGATTCGCCTTGCATTATAAGTGCCAGCTGCTCAATGTTGTGCCAGAACTCGGAGAAAAAGAGTTACGGAATATGTTACACAGTTCATAACATGTCAAAATGCATAATTAACCTATAATTGCCAATTAACCTATAATTGCCTTGCAGAAAGTGCTGTATGTATATAAGAGAAAGCTACATGTTAATGAGGCAAATAAAACTTCAAATCTTCCTTCCTTCTAAGAACAGCTGATTTTAGGGGGATGTAGATTGTTTCCCAGAAATTGCCTGAAAGAAGAGTTTTGATAAAAGCAGAAAGCACCCTTGGCCACCTACCCATTTTGCTGTTTACTGTCACCCTGGGATCCTCTTCTCTGTCCCTCTGCTAGCTCCTGAGCAGTCTCGGAACACACGCTGGTGACTGTGGGCTGCCATGGGACATTAACTGCAGGTTTACCAGCGCTCAGTGCAGACGGACGCGGGTCAGCACTAAGACTGGCATTAGCATGCAGTCCAGACGCAGCCAATGGGGGAGGCGTGACAGCAGCCACGGGTGGAGGGGAAGCATGTGATGAAGTGGTCGCATGGGCTGGGGTGAAGGCAGATGATGATGATGGGATGGATGTGACTTTTGGTGAAGACACAGAGCCAAAGGGCCGGGGTGCCTTATTGTAGGTCATGTTGGTGGCGGAAGTGACTTTGGACACAGCAGGAGATGTAATGGGCACAGGTTTAACTACTTCTTTAGGTTCTCCCTATGTAAAATAAAAATAAACACACAAAACACACCAAATACATGCAAAATAGATTCACTGAAAAGAACACGCAGCTAGTTTTAAAAAGACAAACACAATCATGTTAGCAGCCCAAACTTCACGTTTCCAGGTAAAAACAATGAGTTGATACAGCATAACATGCATGCTAATGGGTCCCAACATGCATAACACAGATGCACACAGTGAATATATTTTTTTTAATAAAAATGAAAGGTGTTTCAAAATATTTGGGAAATAGAGCAGGAAAGCTATCAAAAAGACTAAAAGGCCATCATAAGTGTCAGTTGAGACATATTCCAAAGGAACATTTTTTAAATACCCCACAATAAACAAAACATCTCTGACCAAAATGTTTATTTGAAAATATCCAGAGTCTCAACTATAATTCCATCTTTCAAACATGTTCAATTACTCTCCAGAGTACAATTATTTGATTCATGCAGAAACAGCAGCACATTTCTAACTCTTCAAGTAAAAAAAGGAAGGAATAAGATCATTTTCATCTAACTCAGAAATGTGCACATTCTAATTAATTATTTTGAATCAAGAAATTGCTTTTTTTTAAAAAAACAACTCAGCAAAAAAGCAAACAAGTGAACAAAACAAAATCAATCCTTTCCCTTTCCTGCAATCCACCTGTCTCTCTGTCTGGAATGTTTTGAGATATCATTCAGAGATGGAATAAAATTCTTTCCTTTTTCCAAAATAAATATTTAATATTTAATAGTTATATAAGGAAAAAAACGATCTTAGATGTTTCTTCACTGCCATCAGCCAAAAAATAAAAAACAATAATAACTAGTAAGATCAATTTCTCCTAAAATTAATAGAATTTGTGTTTGCAAATCTCTATTCCAAAGCAAGTGTAAACTTAAAAAATAAACAGGTTAGGCTTCTATGATATTCAAGAATAAATCCCTACTCACCCTACCATCTTGAAAGAAAAATGATAAAAATTTTTTAAAAGCATACAATAGTGGTTCTATTATATTCAATTTTTTTAAAAAAAGGTAATCTAAACTAATCTTATAGAAATAATAAAGCTAATGGGGGGGAATAGCTTAATGCCTCAGCAAATCAATATAATAAGTAATTCAATGGAAAGGCACAAGTAAAATTAAGGAGAAAACCCAAAAAAGCATAAACTAGATGTATATGAATAATGGGTTTGGGACAAGATGAGGATATATATGAGAGAAAAGGGTACTTGCCAATAACCTAATCTAAGAATATCCTGAAAATGTAATTAAAAACTTATTAATATTATTAAACAAAATGTTATTAAAGACTTGTGATATTCATTTTCAGTAAACACTTGTTTATACTCTTTAGAATATGTGAATAAAGATAGGCAAATTAAAAGTAAATGTAAGAAATTTGGACATAAGTTATTGATAATATATGACATTAGAAATAATGTTTTAATCATATAGGTATAATTACAGATGGTAATTCTGTAATTCTCTATGTGTTGATTTCCATTTTCCTCTGTTATCTTTAAAGGAAAAGAACTGTGAAGAAAATTGTATTGAAATTATAAATTGCCAGTATGGCCTAAGACAGGAATGAAAATTACAGTGGTTCAGGAGGGGCTATCAAATGGTACCCTAGTGATACTAGATTAGAAACACACCTTTTGAACAGGAACCAGCTCAGGCTTGGGTGCAGCAGATGCTCTGGGGGGGAAAAAAAGAAGGAAAAAAAATGAATTTTTGCAAACCTGCAAACTTATTAATGGAATTTTTATTATATACCTTAATATACTAAATCATCAGAATTTATAGTTGCATAATTCATGATTTTCACTATTCACAAACTACTAACTAGTTCATGTACCTCAAACGCTGCAAGATCCAATACCCTTATACACTAGGTATTCATTAGTTCTCTACACACTCAAACAAGGGAAGACAAACACCAATCCTGTTTGCTAACACACCCATGTTTAATCTTCAAATTAAGGCTATTCCCCATCCAAAAGGGCTAGGTATAATAAGCGTGACTTTCTGATCCTTTAGGGGTTCCTGAAACATCTAAGCTGAATCTCTGTCTCCAATAGTATCTGTCTTTTCTCCTAACATTCACGAATATGTCCATAGGCCATTGGGTTTCTCTGTGAAGATACTAAGTAAATTCTGGTTGAATTGGGTCAATAAATTGAGTATTTATTTTGTACTTATATTTGTAAATGCTTACACAAGTTACTGGATTTTTTATACTAAAACTAAACTGTAAGTTCCTGCACTAGGCTATAATTTCAGTGAAGGCAAGGACCATGTCCCATTTGTGTCTCGATATCAGTGCTGTGCCTGGCACGTAAGAGGTCATCAGTAATGAGTGTGGAAAGGAGAGAACAAGGAAAGGACAAATATCCATGCATAGAATTTGACTATTTCCAAGCTCAAATTAATTATTTTTAATATATGCTTTTTTGTATTATTACTGTCCTTTTGGTTAGCATAGACTAATAGTAACAATACTTGATTTGGAGCCATTATCTCATATAATCATGACAAATAACCAAGGTAGCAACTATCAGTGTCCTCATTTTTCACATGAGGAACTGCAAAGCTAGAGAAAGTAAATCACTTACTAGGATGGAGCTAAGGCCAGCAGTTCCTACAACTTACAAGACGCTGGCTGTAGTCAAGGACAGTAAATGAATGGGAGAGCTTCTAACGACATAAAGGCTATCTACCTAGTATTAAGGTATATGTTATATTTACTAATGCCAGAAGCAGTCTGACTCCTCTAACAAGCCTGAGGATAAGACATCAAGTGAAGAATTCAAGAAATGTGACCATAGCAGATAAAATAATAAGTGATAACAATTGTAAGCTACAAACTATGAGATCGTTTTACTTATAGTGATAACAGATCACTAACAGAAAACACTAGCATAGGATATTCGGTCTCTATGAGTATAACCTAGCAATGAACTCCAATCAACATTTTTAGCAGCAACTGAATTTTCCAACAACAACTAATTTCGTTAGCTAGGGCAAGCACTGACTGAATAATTGGCTAACCTAATGAGAGGCCACAATGGATGCTAACATTCAGTTACTGCAATACAGAATTAGACTCTGTGCAGTTGCATAACTTTCCATGTGTACTCTCAGACAGACAATTTCTCTTTTAGCTTATAGGGTTATTATAACAAGCAAAGGAAACAAGTTCAAGTACAGAACAGTGGAATCTTCCTTTCATTGAAATTTCACAATAAGATGTAATCACAAAGTATCTATTAAAACCAACCAAGACATTACTGAAAGTTTGCCATAAGAGAGAAGATGGTACCCTTTTTCATCTGGACACTTAAAAGTGCATGGAGCTCTTATAGCAACATAAAAAACAATTTATAAAAAAAAACATGAGGGGCTGGCCCAGTGGTGTAGTGAAGTTCGTGCACTCCACTTCAGCAGCTCAGAGTCTGCAGGTTCAGAGCCCAGGTGCGGACCTACATACACACTGCTCATCAAGCCATGCTATGGTGGTGTCTCACATTAAAAAAACAGAAGAAGATTGGCACAGATGTTATCTCAGGGCCAATCTTCCTCAAGCAAAAAGAGAAAGATTGGTGACAGGTGTTAGCTCAGGGTCAATCTTCCTCACAAAAAAAAAAAAAAAAGAACATGAGAGCCAGCCCTGATGGCCTAGTGGTTAAAGTTCGGCATACTCTGCTTCCGTTCCCGGGGGCAGAACCACACCACTCGTCTGTCAGTGGCTATGCTGTGGCAGCAGCTCACATAGAAGAACTAGAAGGACTTACAACTGGAATATACAGCTATGTACTGGAGCTTTGAGGAGGAAAAGGAAAAAAACGAGGAAAACTGGCAAAAGATGTTAGCTTGAATCCCTCCCAGCAAAAAAAAAACCAGAACGTGATGTTTAACAGTCACAAGGTTTCCAAACAGAATAAAATGCATTTTTCTATGTCCATGAAAACAAACCCCTTAGTTTCTTCTAGGTATTAGTTCTTATTTAAACAGTGTTAGCAACAATAACAAAACCAGAATGGTTAGTTTTCATTAATTTTGAAGTCCAACTTGTTTTGTGAGAAAGCATAGAATAATAATGAGTCCTAATGTAGTTTATGGATTGAAAGTTCTACAAAAATACTGCTTGAAATCTTGAATTCACAAAACAATTTAAAAAATCTGAAACTCCAATCTGTTTGCCCTGCTTGCCTTCTGAGGAAGTCTCACACATGTGATGACATGAACTAAGACAAGCAGTCAGAGAAAAGAGGCAACAAGCCTGCAAAGTCCCAGGACTGAGTCCACTGCACATTAAAAACACAAACATTTGGAAGGAAAAGTAGACTGGCTTATAATTAAAATCAAATAAAACGGGTGACACTAGATGCAATAAAGATTAGTTCTGTGGTCTAAATATTTAAATAACTACCAAATGAGTCACAGAATCATTGAAACTTAGAAGGTCCCTTAGAGTTACTTTATCACACACCAATCAGGTATTCGTCTGACTTCTGTTTGAATATTTTACAGCAGCTCACAATGTAAGCCATGTAATTTTTGAACCCTTCTGTTTAAAATGGCCTTCATTTTAGTGTGTTATTTTGTTTTTTGGAGTCAACAGAAGCAGTCAATCTGTCCACATTAAAAATACTTGGAAAAATATTTTTAACACACAGTATACGTACATAAAATCTATAACATGCATTAGTTACATTTTAAAAGATCAGTAGGCTACATAAATCTTATATTTAAATGTAATTACATACTCTTATGACACTAAAACTATTGTGGTTCAGAAAATTTAGATTACATGACAAATGAAATCTGCAAAATTAATGAACAGCAATAACACTAATTTAAAAGAACAAAACTTGGGGCCAGCCCGGTGGCACAAGCGGTTAAGTGCGTGCGCTCCACTGCGGCGGCCCGTGGTTCGCCGGTTTGGATCCCGGCTGCACACCGATGCACCGCTTGGCAAAAGCCATGCTGTGGTGGTGTTCCATATATAGTGCAGGAAGATGGGCACAGATGTTAGCCCAGGGCCAGTCTTCCTCAGCGAAAAAAAGAGGAGGATTGGCAGATGTTAGCACAGGGCTGATCTTCCTCACACACACACAAAATAAATAAACAAAATTTTATTAATTATCACAGAATAACAAAAAGATACATCACCTTTTACTTCCAAATGTGCAAAGATTTTTAAAAAATATTAATACATAACGCTTTTGAGAATACTCTATATGTTGCTGGAAGAACTATATATTATTACAGCTCTTTTGGAAAATAATTTAGCATTTATTTATAAAAAGCCTTGAAGAAAGTTCATGCCCTTTGACATAATAATCAACTTCTGGGAATCTATTATAAGGAAATAATCTGAAATATAGAAAAGACTTTATGTATAAAGATATTTGTTCCCTACAGTATATCTTACAATAGTGAAAAACTGGAAACAACCGATTAAATACACAACAACGAGAAAGTGGTTAACTGTGATATAACCACAAGATGAAACATCACGCAGTGATTAAAATCATTCTTAGAACTGCTTGATAACATGCTTACTTTATGACGTTAAGTGAAAAAAGGAAGATATAAAATAGCATATACAGCATGATCAGTGCATGGAAACACATCAACATTTTAGCAGGGTGTTTTTTTTTTTCTTTTGGTGAGGAAGATTAGCCCTGAGCTAACATCTGTCGCCAATCCTCCTCTTTTTGCTGAGGAAGATTGGCCCTGGGCTAACATCCATGCCCATCTTCCTCCACTTTATATGGGACGCTGCCACAGCATGGCTTGACAACCAGTGTGCCCTGGGATCCGAACCCTGGGCCGCCACAGCGGAGCGTGTGCACTTAACCGCTATGCCACCAGGCTGTCCCCTTTTGTGTGTGTTTTTATACGATGCATATGTGCTACTTTTTATAATAAGACTATGTCTCAAAGCATGCCTCATGGAAAACTACTTTCCAAAACACCCCCCCACACAAACGTGCTGTTATCAAAGATATCTGGAAAACTGGAAGTTATGTAAACATCTCAGCCACAGGACTTCTCAGAGCCTTTAAATGCCTAAAGAAGAAAATACTGCGGATTGTTGTCCATGCCCCTTTTGAAGTAAGGAATACTCATTTATTTAGAATACTCATTTCTTTAGGAAACCTTTCTTAAGACTGCAGTTAGGAAGGGGAAAAGCCCTCTGGGAAATGCTATTTTAAAGAAACAATAAAGAAAGTAAATATCTGTAAGCCTGAAATGTTTACTTAAGTCTCCTGAAAGCAGTTAAAATTAAGAGGAAGAAATATTACAATCCATAAAATCCTTGAAATCTTGTTATACAGAATATCTTTCTTATGGAACAAGTGCTTTCTTGAACTTTGTTTAATAAGATACCCAAAGACTATGACCATAATTTAATCAATGTTTAAGAAGGAAAATTTCATTTCCTTCACCAAACTGAAATATGTATTTCCTATATTCCCTGAGGAGAAAATCCTAACATATGAATAAGGAAAACTGTTTCTCAAAATTAAAATTTTTATAGTTGTCTTTTTTTCTTAGAAAAATATTATATTGAGCATTTGCTCCTTTACTTTAGAAATGTCATGGATTACTTAAAAACAAATAATTTTGTAAAGATTTTTAAATAGTTTTAAAAACTAAGGTATAATTATTAAAAATTATTCCTACAT